ATTCGCAATTATCATGCATGCTTAAATGCATTTCAAACCAAATCAGCCACAATGGAGGAAGATCTTCCAGCTCGTGTTCTATGACAAGGAGAGGAATTGTGTGGAAAACCTTTATATGGAGATGATTTGGACATGTATTATTCTAATTACTAACCATAGGCTCACTCTTCATAATTTAAGACAATCCGGATCAACATTAGAATGAGGGTACAAACTATTTTTATTTCACAATTATTAGTGAAAAATATCCATTTAGAGTGAGTGATTGTGACTGCACATTTCTCTCACTGCTCTCATTTAAACTAATATAACTGAGCTCAAAATATTACAGTCCCCATAAGTAAGTTACTATGATTAAATCTAGGTTAATATTTACTGCCGGTCTTGATCAATAATTCAAACCACACATCATTGTTTCTGCAGGGAAGCTTAAGGCAGAAAGATCACTGCAAGAATCATTTCTGTTGCCATTTGGACCGTGCAACAATACGGTAAGATCCCGGACCTAAATCCTAACATCATTACAGCGTGTCTTCTCTTTGATGCAGCAGAACTGTGAATCCTCTCCGCTTTTCCTTGAGATTCAAACGCTTATTTCTGCTCATCCTTTCTTTGTGTAGACACTGCGTTACATAACAAGCCTATGAAGGCTTTTTGCATGATGACGCTGGCACCATCTACACAGCTACGACCCCCACCACATGTCTGCTTCTACCCAAGATATAGAGCCTGATCATCCAGTAGAGCACAGCTGCCCTCTACAGTTCTCACACATTACACTGAGGAACAGAAGACTACAGGAATAACACTACTACAGGTGCTGCATGCAACTTTGCAAATCATATACTATACACACTACAACCAGATGGGGTGCATCTCACAAACACATGTCCAGATCAATATGCATAAAGAATGCGTCCCCCCCAAAAATATTAAAATAATAATTAATAGTAATTCCCATTATTCTCAATGTGATTCTCACGGTTAGACAAATGTACAAAAAATGCTCATTTAATTTATTTGATTTTTTATAATGCCATGATGCACAAATACTTCCCAATTTAAATATATACATATATCTAAATACATTTAATAAAATAATAAACAATTTAAATAAATATGTACTGTAACTCAATTAAATAAAAATATGTTTTTCCACATTCAAATAATGAGAATTACATTTCTGCATTACCGTAATGAGAATTTATGGGCTAAAATGCATTAATTTCAGAATGCAAAACTCTTAGTTTGTCATAAAAATTGCCTTCATTTTATTTATGCATGTGTTTTTGTAAACACACAGGTGCTTCCGAGTATTAAAAAAATTAAGTTGTGAACTTGACAATTCCACATAACTTAATTTTTTCAATTACGCATGAAGTTTATTTACTTAATAATTTTAAGGCAACAGGTTTCTTTACTTTTTTTCTTTACTAAGTAAAGTCAACTGATCACTTTGTACAGTGTGAGAACCATTACAAAGCACAGGGGGTTATGGGTAACATTATTAGCCCAAAAGTTATTCACAAATACACAGAATACAGAAGGCAGACATAAGAAAAAATGTATTACCGTTATTACTGGTGTGCAATCTAGTGGTGCAGTAATGTAATTGCATCTCTTTTTAATTTGATTTCACTGCAGGTTTATTTATCCTTAAACAGATATTGTGTATGAGGAATATAATTTGGTCGACATTGATATCTAACCATGACCGTGAGGAAAGGCCTGTCGTTGACGTTGATAAGCGACATTTATCTCAAGAAGACTAGACAAAATTAAAATCAATGTGAAGAAATGCACTCCTTTAATAACATTACAGCACAGACGAGTGATCTGACAGCAACATCAATATCTCAATATCTACCGGATGTATAGAGTTCATGTGCAGACACAAACCCCTGTCCGTGTGTTTCTGCATGTGTGTAACAATACATACAAACCAATTCATTGAACTGTCCAAGGGTAATTCACTTACTATTTTATGACAAAACAAAAACGACTGCAGTCAACAACAACAAAAAATCTAATCATAAATAATTATAGAAAGCAAGATATGACGTAAAGACGAGATTAAAGGAGCAAATACACTCACCGGCCACTTTATTAGGTACACCTGTCCAACTGCTCGTTAACACTTAATTTCTAAGCAGCCAATCACATGGCGGCAACTCAGTGCATTTAGGCATGTAGACATGGTCAAGACAATCTCCTGCAGTTCAAACCGAGCATCAGTATGGGGTAGAAAGTTGATTTGAGTGACTTTGAACGTGGCATGATTGTTGGTGCCAGAAGGGCTGGTCTGAGTATTTCAGAAACTGCTAATCTACTGGGATTTTCACGCACAACCATCTCTAGGGTTTACAGAGAATGGTCCGAAAAAGAAAAAACATCCAGTGAGCGGCAGTTCTGTGGGCGGAAATGCCTTGTTGATGCCAGAGGTCAGAGGAGAATGGCCAGACTGGTTCGAGCTGATAGAAGGGCAACAGTGACTGAAATAACCACTCGTTACAACCGAGGTATGCAGCAAAGCATTTGTGAAGCCACAACACGCACAACCTTGAGGCGGATGGGCTACAACAGCAGAAGACTCCACCGGTACCACTCATCTCCACTACAAATAGGAAAAAGAGGCTACAATTTGCAAGAGCTCACCAAAATTGAACAGTTGAAGACTGGAAAAATGTTGCCTGGTCTGATGAGTCTCGATTTCTGTTGAGACATTCAGATGTTAGAGTCAGAATTTGGCGTAAACAGAATGAGAACATGGAACCATCATGCCTTGTTACCACTGTGCAGGCTGGTGGTGGTGGTGTAATGGTGTGGGGGATGTTTTCCTGGCACACTTTAGGCCCCTTAGTGCCAATTGGGCATCGTTTAAATGCCACGGCCTACCTGAGCATTGTTTCTGACCATGTCCATCCCTTTATGGCCACCATGTACCCATCCTCTGATGGCTACTTCCACCATGTCACAAAGCTCTAATCATTTCAAATTGGTTTCTTGAACATGACAATGAGTTCACTGTACTAAAATGGCCTCCACAGTCACCAGATCTCAACCCAATAGAGCATCTTTGGGATGTGGTAGAACGGGAGATTCGCATCATGGATGTGCAGCCGACAAATCTGCGGCAACTGTGTGATGCCATCATGTCAATATGGACCAAACTCCCTGAGGAATGCTTCCAGCACCTTGTTGAATCTATGCCACGAAGAATTGAGGCAGTTCTGAAGGCAAAAGGGGGTCCAACCCGTTACTAGCATGGGGTACCTAATAAAGTGGCCGGTGAGTGTATGTTTCCTGTATTGAAGTATGTAGAGATGATATATATTGCATGTTGCACATACATTTATTTGTATATACAATACAGTATATATATATATATACACACATATATACACACATGTATACGTACATACATAGGCTATATAGTCAAGTCATCTTCATTTATATAGCGCTTTTAACAATGGATTGTTTCAAAGCAGCTTTACAGAGATAAACATACAATTTAAGGTAACAGAGATTGTTTTGGTTTTATAGCTGTTCTTGAATAATGTTATTTCCAGCTAAAGTTAATTTTGATTGATTCACCTCCGTCGAAATGATCAGACTTTAAACGCAAACCTGTGATTAACGCTGACGGCGTTCACATGCTCATTCAGAATTTATTCTATAGTTATGTGCTTTTGAAAATATGTGCGCAGGTTTGTAATTCCATACAACCCATGCCTAAACAAGCTACTTGTCTTGCCTATAAATTTTGATACAGAATTTTGTTTTATTTTATCACTTCGGGGTCCGAAATATACATATATACACACACACACATACATATATATAGACAGACACACACACACACACATCTCTTTATAAACAGAAGAAGAGAGGGACAGAGGAATGACACTTCCACAGTGCGTGATCTTCCTGATTTTGTGAATTCCCATAGAGCCACTGGGCTCGTGATCAACACATTATTACCTGACGCCGGCTGGTGGGACTGCGAGACGACTGTTTACACAGGCAGACAAACAATCGACTAATAGACACGGAAAAACCTGCGCCACCAGACCTCCATTATGCTAAAACAGCGAGAACGCTTCCACGTCTGTCTTGCCAGCGACGGCTTGAATGGAAACAAACAGACCGACGTGCCATTATGAAGAAAGGATAGAACGCTTCATTGAGAGCTAAACAATCTACATTTCCCAATAGGCTAATGGCCTCCACCGTATTTGGACAGCAATTGGCATTATGCAAATTAAACCAGGCTGAGCGGCCAATGACAACAATAGAGACCAACACTACATCAGCTAAAACAATAGAAGCTGCATTTACTGCACCGGACGGCTATTTTTCCATGATATTGTGTTATAACCTGGAAAATGAGGACCAGCTTGATCTGAAAATTGAACAGAACACAGCAAAAATGTATTGGCATTGCATAGAAAATATCTGCAGGATGGATCTTCAAAAATCTGGGATTGGAATGACAAGTAAATTGTATGAAGTATAGTAAAAATATGCAATTAAAGGATTAGTTCACTTTGAAAAAAACTTTTGCTGATAATTTACTCACCCCCATGTCATCCAAGATGTCCATGTCTTTCTTTCTTCAGTCGAAAAGAAATTAAGGTTTTTGATGAAAACATTCCAGGATTTTTCTCCATATAATGCACTTTGCTGGGCACCAAACGGTTCAAGGTCCAAAAGACAGTTTCAGTGCAAACTGCAAACTGTTCAAATGGCTTTAAACGATTCCAGACGATGCATAAGGGTCTTATCAAGCGAAACAATCGCTCATTTAAAAAAGAAATAACAAAGTTTAAGTTTTATAAGCTCAAATGCTCGCCTTGCTCTGTTCTGTGTGACTCTCCTGTTCGAACTCGTTCATCAAAATGAACGAATCTTTTTCCGAGTCAATTCGTTCATTTCGTTCGTTAAATGAACCATATGACTCGAAAAAAGATTTGTTCATTTTGATGAACGAGTTCGAACAGGAGAGTCACGAACGTGCATCACAGAACAGAGCAAGGCGAGCATTTGAGCTTATAAAACTTAAACTTTGTTATTTATTTTTTAAATGAGCGATTGTTTCGCTTGATAAGACCATTATTCATCGTCTGGAATCGTTTAAAGCCATTTGAACAGTTTGCAGTTTGCACTGAAACTGTCTTTTGGACCTTGAACCGTTTGGTGCCCAGCAAAGTGCATTATATGGAGAAAAATCCTGGAATGTTTTCATCAAAAACCTTAATTTCTTTTCGACTGAAGAAAGAAAGACATGGACATCTTGGATGACATGGGGGTGAGTAAATTATCAGCAAAAGTTTTTTTTAAAGTGAACTAATCCTTTAACTTGGAATATTTATTGTGCATAGTAATACTATATGTGGACATGGTAACGGCATGTGGTTTTCTTCTAGCATTTTTACTGCACAAAAACAAGGGTTGCATTGCCAGAGCTTTGGTTCCCATGCACAATATACAAAATCCTCCTTTACTTTTGCCAAAACTACAAAAGAAACATAAGCCAGCGTGGTACAGTCACACACTTTCCCAAACACCTTTGTACGTGGGCCGTTCTTGATGACTGAACACTCTTTGTCTTTGTGCAAACAATCACTAAATGGAGATGAATTTGCGCATCATGGTGGGCTTCCAGTATATATGCTCATCAGCCAAAACTCCCACGCTGCACGTCTGCGATGGAGGACAGCTATTGTGCACCAGTGTAATATGTACTGAGTTATTATTGACATGGTTAAAACGGCTTCATATGGCGCTAGTTCTGTCTGGTGTGTAGACTATGCCAATTATAGCAATAACTGCATGACGGCATACTGTATTTGGCACTCTGGCTACTATTCCTGGCGGCTTGGTAGAAAATAGTAAGTGTAATTAGTCATGCAACTCATCCACACACAACAGTCATGAATGATTCCTCAAATCATTCAAGTTAAGGAGAGGTGTGCAGTTACTTTATTACTATGTGCCCTGACTTATGATTTTCACCTGGTGGATGACAAAACAGTCCCAAAACAACACACTGCCAAACATCTAGAACAAATCTAGCATCATGTACTGTAGCAACACACACACACACACACACACACACACACACACACACACACACACACACACACACACACACACACACTCGAAAAAAACAAAACACTCGGAACACCCTAACAACAAACCTACAGGTTTTTTCTCTTTTTTAGCGTTTACAAACATAAAGACAACAAAAATGTATTCTAAGAGGGTTACAATTCATGAAAATGAACTGAACTAATGAAATGAACTAAAGCATGTCATCTTAAAGGGATACTCCACCAGTTTTTCTTATTAAACTATGTTATTCCCTTAACTAAGACGAGTTGATACATACCTCTCTCGTCTCAGTGCGTGCACTATATCCCTCTGTATTGCCGCAAAACTATGTTAGCACTTAGCTTAGCCCATGCATTAAATATGGGCCAAGCAGAGAAGCGACCAAACACTTCCACGTTTTCCCTATGTAAACACAGTTACTCGAGTAGTGTAACTTGACCTGGGCTGGTGACACAAAATAAACCGTTGCGCTTTTCTAAGCGTTTAAAATTGATGACTATATTGTATGGCGGAATACCATAACAAGTGCTTTTGAGCACTTCGACTTGACGCAATAATATCTTCACTCGTGAAAAGATTACCGGCTCCCGCTTCCTCTCCCCCTCCCTCCAATAGCATCCAGCTGCTGACATTTCCGTCAATACTACCAACGTGACTTTTACTACCTGTGCTATTAGCAAACTGCAGATCATTTGCAATGGCCGACTTTGTAGATGATTATGACTTCTTTTAGAAGACCCAGAGCCATATCTGTTTGAACCCGAGTACACGGAGGAGGAATTAGCTCTTGTGGACCGTGAGAGGCAAGAAAGATATGATCCAGAACAGACCGGAGCTGGCGAAAGACCACGGGCTTTCTGTAAGTGATCTGAATATTGTTGGTGTAGCCTCATCCTTTAGGCGTGTTCCTGTGCAGGTATAGTCCTTCTTTGTGAAATGTTCGGAGCAAACACGCCACTTCTTCAGAGTCATCAATGGTGTTTTGGGATTCTTGTTCAAAGCAGCTAACCAAGCTCTCCGCTGTATGTGGTGTGTTGGAATTCGGTGAAAAATGACAGCACTATGTACATTCTCCTTATTTTCACAACCCTTTACGATGCACGCTTTAACCATTATTGTACACAAACTAGCTTCCAACAACCTGTTACTTCGTCAACTCCGCTCGAACTACTACTACCGGCGCATGTCACGTTGTATTGACGGAAATGTCAGAGGGAGGGGGAGAGGAAGCGGGAGCCGGTAAGAGGACTTTTCACGAGTGAAGATATTATTGCGCCAAGTCGAAGTGCTCAAAAGCAATTGTTATGGTATTCCGCCATACAATATAGTCATCAATTTTAAACGCTTAGAAAAGCGCAACGGTTTATTTTGTGTCACCAGCCCAGGTCAAGTTACACTACTCGAGTAACTGTGTTTACATAGGGAAAACGTGGAAGTGTTTGGTCGCTTCTCTGCTTGGCCCATATTTAATGCATGGGCTAAGCTAAGTGCTAACATAGTTTTGCGGCAATACAGAGGGATATAGTGCACGCACTGAGACGAGAGAGGTATGTATCAACTCGTCTTAGTTAAGGGAATAACATAGTTTAATAAGAAAAACTGGTGGAGTATCCCTTTAAGTATTACACCGAAGAAGAGTTTAACAAACAATTGAATTATTAGTTCTTTAGCGCATTAGACACCTGGCTGGCTCTCTTATTTTATTGCCTTTTCATCCGCATCACATATTTTAGTAATCATCATAAGTTAGTGTTATTTGAAAGCTTAAACACTCAAAATTCATTCCTGTGAAAACCATTTTGAAATTGGACACTGCGTTACCATCAAAACAGTACCTTTTACCAGGCTTCATTTTTGTAAAATTAATATTAAATATTTAAAAAATATTTAGTTCAGTATATTTGCCTTACAGTAAACTTAAACTTTTTACACTTTCATTTTTTTAAGTGCTTTCACTTTTGCAATAATCTGCTGAGTGCCTTCTTTAAAATGAGACCAAACTTTGGTCTGTACTCCAAAGCATGAATTAAAGCCATTTAAGTTCATATTTATGACAGTTAACAGGTTAAAGAATTCAAAAATATATCAACATCTTTTTTGAAAGGTATTTTCTTTAAACATTTACATTTATGAATGTAAAATACTGCAAGGAATTGTAATAAAATATTTCTACATTGGGTCTATTTTCAAAGAGTCACCAATAAAATACAAGCTTCTGGCTAATGTAGAAGTTTGAAAAAATACTAAATCAATAAAGTTAGAAAAATCAATCCAAACCACTCTGTAACAAAACATTTTTTTTTAAACTGATGACAAAAGGAGCAACAGGGTAAAATAGTGTTATTAAACATTGCAAGTTTATACGTAACAATTAAGAAAAATTATAAAAGAAACTTCAAACAACTTTGTTGGGCAGGATTTTTTTTTTGATGAAACCAGAATTAGTTTTCCCCCCCCCTTTCTATGTCACTCAATGTATTATTCTAAAAGAACACACACTGGCAGTTTAAAAGATTTCTATTAGAGAATTTAGTGAATAAAAGCCTAAATTAAATCTGTTTGTCATATAAGGCGATCAAGTCTCTTGAGAAAATTTGGACTAAACTAAATTTAATTTTTTTCTCTTCTTTATGAACTTTTTGAAGCCTCAAAGTGGTAGTTGCGAAACTGTCAATGGAGGAACAGAAATCTCTCAGATTTCATCAAAAATATCTTCATTTGTGTTCCGAAGATGAATGAAAGTCTTACGGGTTTGGAAAACCATGAGGGTGAGTAATTTTAAGTCCTTTAAGTCTTGTACCTTTGCCTTTCTGTCTGATTTTCAAAAACTGTTTTGCTTTAAATCAAATTTTGTAGCGTTTTGATTCTCCTCGTAGTCCGTTGGCCTGGTTCATGGCTTATAACGCTCTAACAAAATCTATTTTAACTTGTCTATGGGAAAAATTTAATATAAAAAATACTTCTGGAACCAGTGCCGGCGCTAATGCACTCTTTTGATCTGATGTTTTTATTCATAAAGATCCTACATTGGTCAATAAACAGACTAGAGTAAAAAAAAATAAAATAAACTAGCATGGCACCAGTGACTTCAGCAGCATAGACCTCAGAAAATGTAAAAATCGAGTTACTACTGTTTACTTTTGTTCTTTTTTGTTAACTGCAGAGGTTCTTGACTAAGTATTAATGTAATATCCTGACTGGCCTATACCACTAAAAAGAAGCTACTACGAGAGAAGGTCACTTTGAATCAGATATTTAATAATTCAAACATGAAATCCAGGACATCTTAATCACCCTATTAGCTTCATACAGCGGTCAGAGTCGGGCTAGATCTTCAGACTGTCTGGAGACCTTCAAGGTCAGGCGAACCTCCGGCTGGGTGGCATCCCGGCGTCTCCTCAGATCGATAACAACAGCATCAACGATAGCATGAAAAACGCCAGTGATTGCTTCATCCTCGTAAAGGGCTTTCTCACCAAACATCCATGGGACGCATACCTGTGATATCATCAAAAATCTTTGCTATTTTCTTGTTTATGCATGCATGCATGCATAGAGACACTTTCACAAATATATACCCATGCACTCTTAAAAAAGAGCTCAGTGTGAGAAAATGGCCATTGCCTTCGCGTTTCACCCAATTCATGCTTCTTTTATAGGGACACAGGAGGTACTGTAATAGAGCGGCATTATACCATTATTTGGCAGTGCGTACATAGTGAGAGCAGTCATTGTGTTTTGTACTATTATCATTTCAACCCCTCACATTCAGCACTCCCTCTGCGCACAGCAATCACCACACAAAGAGGCTGCAGTTGTCATGGAAACGTTGTGGCGACTTGAACCGGAGACGAGCGCCAAGGCTGTACCGTCTCTAGGCGACTACAGGTGCACATCTTCATTTCTATGGATGGAAACCTCCAACACACTCCACTCCTTGGTCTATATTTTATGAATAAATGC